GGGTCATCTTTGCCTAGGACAGGCATTTCCAATAGCTGATGGGATTTTAGTTAAAGAGGCTGAGATTTTATAACCTGGGGAGATGACCACTTATGAGTGTCAGAGGCTTTTGTGAGCATAGACAAACTTAATGCTTCCATTTTGATGAGAGGCAATTTTAAAAAGTAAATCTTCCATTTTGGTGTACTTTTATCCTTCTCCTGCCAATCATTTAACCACTGCCCACTGCCTCCCAAAAATCAAGATTCAGTTTGCATTGATTAAAATGTTTTACTCTTTCCTTTATTATTTCTTTCCTTATCACAATAGATGATTTAATGCTTATGGGAATTGCTCAAAGAAAGAACCAGAGGGATGAAGAGAAGACAAGAACAAGAAGGAAAGAGGAGAACACTGAGAGTGAGCAAATTGCTGAACTTGAGTGTGCAATACTACCAAAGGACCAGTACCTGGTCCTGTTCTTCTGTGTGATACAGATGAAGAGCTCAAATGGCTTTGAGTAATCAGGATAGCAGCTACACATTCATATCCTGATGCTTATGCATTTAGATCAGAAGGCTGAGCTTCAGAATACCATCCAAAACTGATTTAATTTTCATGTAGATATTGTTACAGCAAATTTATTTGGGTTTCCAGCCATCTGCAAGCTGAAAGCAATGAACCCAAAGTTTGCTTCTACAAACTGACATACAAACATCAATGCAAAGTGAACACAGTTTGAAATAGTTTGATAGTATGGAAAGGGACAGAAATAAAAATATAAAAATTTGCCAAAGTAACCAAGAAAATTTGGTAACTACTGAATGTAGGGGCAAATAATTTTATACACTGGTTATTTTTATTTTTTTTATGAAAGTGAAAGTGTGAGTTGCTTAGTCGTGCCTGACTCTTTGCGACCTCATGATCTATAGCCTGCCAGGCTCCTCTGTCCATGGAATTCTCCAGGTAAGAATACTGGGGTGGGTTGCCATTCCCTTCTCCAGGGGATCTTCCTGACCCAGGGATTGAACCTGGGTCTCCTGAATGGCAGGTGGATTTTTTACCATCTGAGCTGCCAGGGTATACTCCATTGTAACAACTGATGGTTTAAAGATGACCCTAACTCATCAAGAAAGAGTCAAAATACTTTGGGCATACCTTGTTTGAGACCCACCAGAACTATTTAACATTTTAGAAAGTTTTTTTTTTTTTTTAAATCAAACTCTTACTTTAGCAAGTCTTCAGTTATCTGTAAGGTAGCCTTCTAAGGAATACTTTATTCCAGAAACTATCAATAAGGGAAATGTTACTGCATATTTAAAACAAACAAGATGGAGGAAGTGAAGGGAGATTCTATGCTAGAATATTAGGGACCCTGAATTTCTGAGAAAATTGACTTGCAATCTCTCTGTTCAACTGGGGCTACACAATGAATGCCAACTGTAGGACAAAGCTGGATCTTGTAGATATTCTATTGCCCTGACTGCTGGCGAAGAGCCATCACAAGCTTCAGTACAGCCCCAAGGGGTGCATATATTAAGGAAAAAGCAAGGCCATGTTCCAAAATGGCTTATTTAAAATGCAAAGGGTAATAAGAGAGCTACATCTGGGGAAAGTCCAGCTCTCAGAAACAGGAAAGTAATACCAAATCTTGGTTAAAGTTGCTTACTCTTGAACTAATTAGCTGGGGATTGAATTCAGCATAAGAAGTCAGATTGTGGGTTAAGAGTGAAGGAAAATGTTATTCTTTTTTCTTAGATACCAGTCTGGCACTTCAGAATGTAGTAGCAGGCAGCTCGTGAGATTCAGCCGATTTGACAAAATCAAAAAATTATGAAAAACACCATGGCTGATTGAAAAGGAGTTCTAGAAATATAATTTGGGCCAGATGCATGATAAAAGTCATTTTTATCTTCTTTGGTGGTAGCCTCTTTGTAATAAGATATGGGCACATTTGTCATTAAAGAAAAAAAAAGAGGAATGAGTAATACAGAATACAGAGGAACATAAAATAACATGTTCCCACTCAGTCTCTGGGTCAGGAAGATCCACTGGAGAAGGAAATGGCAACCCACTCCAGTACTCTTGCCTGGAAAATCCCATGGACAGAGGAGCCTTGTAGGTTACAGTCCACAGTGTCACATAGAGTCAGACACAACTGAGTGACTTCACTTTCACTTTTCACTTTCACCACTTTTGAAATACTGTTCCTACCTAGTATTGATCTACTATTCTTTTCTTTCAAATTTCTTTTCTTGTTTTCCTATGGTGGGAGATTTGTGGGAAAATCATGCATAAAAGAAGAAAGCCAAGATCTTTTGCTTTTTTTTTTTACTTGTGAACTTTTAAGAAAAGGATAGAACTTATAACAAAATCATATTAGCCATTGATGGCATCTCTCACTAGATACACACCCTTGACAGAACATGTCTGCATATAACAAGACCTTCTTAACAGGCCTGTGCTAGATTTAAAATTTTCATGCCTAATTAGCTGTGTAAACACATTTGGAATTTAAGGAATTTTCTGTGTCACAAGGGAGTGAAAGTTTATAACCTATTATGTAGATGGTAATTTTGTAGAAGTTTCTATTTTATGGATGGGAGCCCCCACCCCCTAAATGTGAAATGTCTACATTGTCTGAAATCCATGCTGTGTTCCCTGTGGTGTTCCCTTGACTCTACATTGTGTATTCCACATTACATATGCTGCTACCTCTGCATTCAGAAGTATTTGGAGCCAGAACCAAGGGTAGAACATCTCAGGAAGAATAATGCTGCCCACAGAGTACAGGGTCCTTTTCAGTCGAGGGCTTCCAACTCTTCATTCCTGACCTGCCAAAACCAAAATATTATGTAAAATTCTGGTGTCCGGGTGTCTCCCAGATTTGGGGGTTCTGTGAATTTCTCTTTAGCCTATTGCTGAATGAAAGGAGAGGAACATGAAAAAAAAAAATGAAGCTGTTAGTTGCTCAGTTGTGCCCGATTCTTTGCGACCCCATGGATCTCCTCTGTTCTTGGAATTCTCCAGGTAAGAATACTAGAGTGGGTTGCCATTCCCTTCTCTAGGAGATCTTGTCGACCCAGGAATACAAACCCATGTCTCCTGCTTTGCAGGTGGATTCTTAACCATCTGAGCCACCAGGGAAGCCAAATCAAGGGTGGGGAAAGCAATGGAATATTTGAGTGTGCCCTTCCATCTGCAGAGAGCACCCACTGCAGCATCAGCTGGTCGGAATCCATGGCAAAGGCCAGGGGTGGGGTGGGGGTGGGGGGAGCATGGTACTGGTCACCAGCAGGTGGATTTATCCTCTATGACTGACACTTAAATGGGAGAGCTGATTTGATACTGTTCCAGCCTTGCTGCTGGGTGTTTTTAATCATATATTTTAATTAATGTTTTTATTGTACTTGGGTCCAGAGGCTGTTTCAACAGAGCAGCTTATATTTAGAAGTCTCTGAATAAATAAATGTAAAACAAAGGAAAACTGACTATGCTGTAATGATGAAAGTGATTGTTTCTAAAAAGATAGATTTAGGCTTCAGACTCTACTTACTGCTTGATACTCAGTCCTTTGCAAAATTACGGACTGTCACCTAAACAGACCTTTTGTGCATAGCAGAGCATCGTTTCAAAATCTTATCCAAGATCTGGCTTTAGAAGTCTATTATCTGGGTTTTGAGGCAGGTGGGGACACTGTAGAATTTACTGTGTCAATTTTGACTTAAAAAAATTAACAATGAAGTAGTAGGGTTATTAAGTTGGAGTAGTAGCAAATTTTTGAGGCAACATTTGTTTGGACCTGTGTAGATCTCTTCCACTGCTGGAGAAAGAGATAATTGGAGTGGGCTAGTTCCTTTGTCTCCTTTTACTATTTTCTTTTAAATTTTTGCTCTCTCCTTTAAAGAGGGCTAATATCTCTTCCCTATATATTTTAAGTCAGAAGCACGTTTAGGGCGTATATTTAATTCAATTTAGCCAATGTTTATAGAGCACCTCTTCATTCAAGGGAGGAGCTAGACTTTACAGGGGAATGAGATGTTTACAAATTATAGGAAATATATTTGTAGGATACAGCTTGCTTCGACATATGTGCTGAAAAAAATACATACTGAGTTTGAAGTAGATGAAAGCATCTTCCATTTCTTTTTGTCAGGATCAATTATTTGTTCAGTTCTCCACGTGTTATTTTCTTTGGGTCCCAGAGAGCTTGTGAAAGTTACTCAAGAACTATAAGGCTGGAGTGTTGGCACATTTTCTGGTGATTGTAACAAGGTTTGGTCCTGGGTGGAAGAGTGAGGTTCTGAAGTCTGTCTGGTTGTCTGCTGTCACTTTTGCTTATCTTTCCTAGTGGCATCCCTTTTATTTCCTTTTCTCTATCTTCAGGGGTCCAAATTCTTTAAAATGCTCTGAATTAGTGGTTCTTGACCCTGACTGCAAGGAGCATTGAAGAAATATTGATGTCTGGACCTCACGCTTAAACCAATGAAAAGCACTGCATTGATTGTGTTGAGGAGCTAGGGTTGAGACTACAAATAGCCAACTCTGTTGATAGGAAAAAAAACCACTACATTAAAAGCATACCTTTTAGGTCATGACATGATTGCAGAAATATCACAGTGTGAAAGAGAATGTGGTTTTCAGTACTACATTGGCAGAGAACAAAAACTTTACCTGTAATTTTTTGAGGACCATTTGCATTGTGAAAGAGTTCTTGTTAAACCAACATATTGCAAATATTGTATTTTTTTTTTGTCCTCTGAGGCATTTTATTTGTATAACATCCCTAGAAAAAGAATCCAAGTGTTTTCCCTATTGTGTTTTGTCTTGCTGCTTTATGGTCCACATGCCAGCTCAGGTTTTCAGTACAATGAAGCCAAACTGATGGGGTGGGAGCAGGTTATTCTGCCATTTTTCTAGATCTTTGAGTCTCACATCAAATCTGAGGCTGATCACTCCACACTTATTTATTCTGCCTGTATGTTCACAACAATTTTCCCAACCCTGTGATCACTGCTGATTTAAAATTCGCCAATGTAACCATGCTTCATCCTCACAATTAGAAACCTGATGATGACTTTGGAGCACAGCCTTATAAGCACCTGGTATTTGCCTCTCTTTTCAGCATTGCTGATACTTTTGAGAGTATCACCCAGCACATTCATGCACACCATTATGGCAGCATGGAAAGATGGAAGAAAGAGGCAAATACTATATTTTAAATGATAAACTTTCAAATTTGATTCTAGGCTAGGGAAGGGTTTCTCAATCTTGGCACTATTGACATTTTGGACTGGACAGTTCTTTGTTGTGGGGATTGTTCTGTGCATTGTAGAATGTTTAGTAGTATCTGGTCTCTATTCACTAGATGCCAAGAGTAATCTTCCTTTTATACGTGACCCCAAAATGTCTCCAGACATTGCTAAGTTGAGAACCATTAGGCTAGTGAGGTAGCTATTTTGGTAGTAGCAGCTTGTCTCAGTTAGTGCTCAGCTGCAGAGAACAGACCCCACTTTAGCTGGCTTAAGCTGAAATGTATTAATGACAGGGTATTCAATGGTCTACAGAACTGGTCTGTGGGTAGAAGAAATAGAATCTAGGCTGGTGAGCTTCCAGAAACAAATCCTGAGGCCACATCACAACTGAATCATCATAGAAGCTGCTGTACTTGTCTTGATCTGGATGGTGCCTGTCAAAGGGAGAAGCTGTGGTCGGGAAACCACTTCTGCTAAACTGGGGAGTTGATACTCCATCTGCAGCAGCAGAACGATACCTCATGTCCAGTCTCTCCTTGCTTTACAGGGTCTGAATCCCCATTCCGAAAGTGAATCTAATAATGGAGCCTATATCATATCTAGAACCCTAGTTACGAGAAAGTGTGGAAAAAGGCAGTTTTGTTTATTAGCCTCTGTAATACATAGGAAGGCATTGCAGAAGGAGGTTGGAACAGATGTTAAATGAGCTTATCTCTAGTATTTTCCACAGGGTTCTTCCCAGAACTTAACTTACACCAGGAGGTAGCCAGCTATTCTAGATAATTGGGGTTGGTCCAAGGGTCTTCTTCACTCCCTTTACATTTTCGGTATTTGTATTTTTAATTTCCTTTCTTTTATCAATTCTCCTTCCTATTTTCTCTTTGATTACCATCAATTTCATGTATCTTCCTTTTCTCTGACCCTAACTATAGGTTTTCTGAGAACTTGAAGTGTGTGTATTCATGCTTGGCTTTGTTGATAGATATGGCATGTAACTGGAGAAGGCAGTGGCACCGCACTCCAGTACTCTTGCCTGGAAAATCCCATGGGTGGAGGAGCCTGGTGGGCTACAGTCCCTGGGGTTGTGAAGAGTCGGACACGACTGAGAGACTTCACTTTCACTTTTCACTTTCATGCACTGGAGAAAGAAATGGCAACCCACTCCAGTGTTCTTGCCTGGAGAATCCCATGGAAGAGGAGGCTGGTGGGCTGGCGTCTGTGGGGTTGCACAGAGTCGGACCCGACTGAAGCAACTTAGCAGCAGCAGGAGCATGGCATGTAATGTCTTTGTTGATAAGATATGAGCTAAGGCTAGGATGTTCAGCTAATACCATGTGTGTCTCCAGTTCATGGAAGACAGTGTGAGAACAGATATTTTGGTGCAGAGGTTTGCATCTTTAAATTGTGTTCTCTCCATCTAGAAGAATAAAATACCAATTAATGTGAACAATCACATTGTCTGATTTGAAATAAACATTGATAAGTAGCCTTAAGTACCAGCAGGTAAAAAATCAAGTGATGCTTTCTGCCTCTAGGTTGTAATCTTTTAATTTTAGAAAATGTGACTCCTTATGGCTGGGCATAATAAGTGATTGCTTACCTGGTACAATATGGTTTTCTTTTAGCTTGTTGCTAAGGTCTCCTAATTATTAATTTAGTTAGAGCTATGAGGACTTTAACCCTAAGTTAAAATTCAGACAATAGCCGTGGGAGAGGTAAAAACATTATAAGCCATTTACTCTTTCATGTGGTCATTTACTTATTTAGTGTATAGGACAAATGTTAAGTTTGAAATTCAAATAAACGGTAAATAATCTTAATGTAAATAGGTCCCAAATGTTGGATGAGACATGGTTGCACTAAAAAATAATTATTGTTTATGTGAAATTCAAATTTACCTGGATGCCCTGTATTTTTCCCCCTGTGTTTTTATTTTCTAAGTTTGGTATAAATGAATTGATCAAGTTATTTCTTGCAAATACATTTCCTGAGATGGCCAGAGGATGAAGAAAACATAAGGGTAATGGACTCCTGAGAGGACTAAAGATGAGAACGTTGGGCTCTGTACAAAAAGGAAGAAGGACAACTAAAAACAAACAGGCACTAAACTGATCCTGGTTAAACTGACCATTCCATAGGCATGCAAATAAAGCCCTGATGTGAAGATAAAACTCTCTTCCTTCCCTGTAAATGTAGCCACTTTCCTAAAGCACTTGGATCTGGTCCCAGTGCAGCATTCCCTTGCCCAGGCTGCACAAGCCAAGCTTCGAGGTAAGTGGAAGAGATGAGCAGCGCAGGCACTGGATACCTTGGAGCCTTGTAATCTTGCTTGCACAACCTCCAGATTGCATGGTTCTTGGCTTCAGTGCAGCTGGGCACAATTTCAATGCACATCTATGGAGACCATGTCACAACAACAAAACAAACCAATGTAGCTGCGAGTTGCATTAATAGCTTGAAAAAACAAGTCAACAGACTTGAAGACTGCTCTGGGAGTCCCTCCCTGAGAGTCAGCCTTTGGCAGAAAGGGAGTTACTGTGCCTCCTTCTTGACATTTTTCAGCTAAGATTATTCTATATGATCTGCACCTTGTCCCTTTCAAAGAGTGTTTGTTTGTTTGTTTTGACAGAGCCCTTATTTGCTTTATTGTTGATCAGCACTAGATCTTCTGAGGAGCTGAATGTCCTTGACGGCATGCAAGTGCCTTGTCCTAAGAGATGCCTTCCCTGCTGTAGATTTCACACTCATGAATAGTATATTCTTTCTTAAGCTCTTACACTGCTATTGGTAAAAAATACAGTGAACCAAATTTTCACCATCTTCTGATACTTCAGTTACTGCCTTGTTGTAGACTGGTAGTCAGAAAGACTTTACATACCTTGCAGCAATATTGCATAAAAGAATTCTGAAGATCTGTTGGAGACATCTTGCTCCTTATAGAGAGTACCCTAGTACATGGAAACCAAGGCTAGTAGAACTTTCTCCATTACTGAACTAAGACCAAATTGGCTTCTTAATGTTAGTGGGTCTCGCCTAAGAGTATATTTGAATTGGAGTCTTGCCAATATCAGGAACCTCCTGTGTTCATATATATATTTTTATTTCTGATTTTTATGAAAGGTTTATGTGCTACTAACATTGGGACATGTGGCTGAACACACTGTTAGGAAGCTGGTAAAGAGAAGGAACATTAAACATTTTGAAAGGAATCTTAGCTGTTCAATGTGATTTCTTAAAAAAAAAAGATGTAACGTATGTTTATTTTGCATCTTACATCTTGAATCTTTTCTTCTGATTTACACATAGCCTTGGCTGATTGCATTTTTTACCTCAAAAATTTGAGTTCCCTCACATATAGCACATTATTACAATTCTAATTTTGCCTTATTTAGTAACTGTAAACTTATGTTAAAAGAACAACAACAACAAAAACAGCAAAGCCATCTTTATTTTCCTTATTTTTCTTTGGTTGTCTTTTTTTAAAAAATCAAGTCTCTCTGACTCATATCCTGGGCTATCTCAATTTGTGCAAGTTTCCAGAATTTTTTTTAATTTTCAGTTTTCCCCCAATTCTTTTTTTTTTTTTCCTGTTATTCATTTCCCAGCTCCTGTTTCCACATATCCTCCCTTTTCTGCTCCATCTCTTCCTATTTCTCTACATCTTTGTAGAGAGATATAACCTTCTTTGCTCTTTTATCACAGAACTTTCATGAAGTTCTATGCTAAGTCTCCTTAAACTATGTGGGACAGATTGCCCTAGCTTAAGGGAACACTCAGGAAAGAAGCTTGGAGTGACTCATGGTTACAGGTGTGAAAGGTGATGGGTTATGACCTCTTGTAGGTCCATTCCACTCTTGGGACACCATGATTCCATGAAAAGAAACTCTTGAGACTTGTGTATCATGTAAACTTTTTTTTTTTTTTGCATGTTTAGATTCTCCTTCAAATATTATGGTTTGAAATTAGGTTATGGTGAGCTGAAAAACAGATGAAACAATTCCCAAGCCATAAAAAATTTTAGCTCTTTTCAGAGAGGTCAAAAGATCAATATTGTCAGATGGTCAGAAACCCTTATAATACCTGAGAAGAGAGGAACTATCAGAAAGGAGAGTAGCTGTGGCAAGAATAACTCCTAATGCAGTTAACATGTCTTGCTGTAGCACCTCCTGGCTTTCCCCACCTATATGGTAACGTTAATCCCTCCCAGGGGAACTAGAGGTCATTGATCTCTGAAGTTCTTCATGCTCTCCCCTTAGATTCCTGTGGTGAGGGCTTTATTCAGGGTGAAAAACCTGCTTCCTCTATGGGAATGTGTCCCAAATGGGAACTACATATTGGGAGACTACACATTTATTTATCACAATTGATAAATATCAATTAAAATCTGCTTATTTTGTCAAGGCCATTCATTTGTCTATTTGTTTCATGGTGCACACTTAACAGTGGTGAACAATGGTGAGTAAAACCAGGTATGGAGTTTAAAATCCAGTGGGAAAGACAGATGATCACATAATCACACAAATATATTCAAAATGATATCAGTAGTAAGAGTTAAAAAGTGGAAGTACATGGAGCTATTAGAGCATAAAATAGGTGGGTTTGACATAGTTGTGAGATGGGAGGAGATCTGAAGAAGTGGAGTTACTTGGTTGAAGAGTTGGGTGAGCCATTGCCTAGAGGTTGTGGCCAAGTACCAAAGTTCTGGGACAGGGGACAGGGAAAGAGAGGGACAGGGAATCTGGAATAGAGTGAGGATGAGGCAGCAGGAGGGGCTAATATGAAGATGGGCAGCCGAGCCCAGATCATCCAGAGGCTCAAAGGCCATGTTCTTTAATTCTAAGAACAATGGGGCTCTGGCTCTGCTTAGTTGCTCAGTCTTGTCCGACTCTTTGCAATGCCGTACTGCAGCCTGCCAGGCTTCTCTGTTCATGAGGATTCTCCAGGCAAGAATATTGGAGTGGGTTGCCATGCCCTCCTCCAGGGGATCTTCCCAACCCAGGGATTGAACCCAGATCTCCTGCATTGCAGGGGGATTTTTTTTTCCATCTGAGCCACAATGGGGAGCCATCAAAATGCTTTGGGGAGAGGGTCGGAAAGGTGATCAGACTTTCATGTCAAAAATACTTATTTTGTTATTATAATAACCACCCTGTGAATTATTGGAAGCCCTCAAGCATTTAAAACTGAGATATGTTTTCTGTTTTATTTTATTAATGGAAGAACACTTAACATGAGATCTACCATCTTAACACATTTTCAGTTTACAATACATTATTGTTGGCTATAGACACAAATATTATACAGCAGATCTCTAGAACATATTCATCTTAACTAACATTTTATGGCTGTTGATTAAAAACTCCTCATTTTCTTCTTCTCTTAACCCCTGGTAACCACCATTCTAGTCTCTGATTTTATGAATTTGACTATTTTAAATATCTCATATAAGTAGAATCATGCAAAATTTGTCTTTCTATGTTCAGTTCTCAGCTGTGTCCAACTCTTTGTGACCCTATGGAGTGTGGTCCTCTAGGCTCTGTCCATGGGATTTTCTAGGCAAGAATGCTGGAGTGGGCTGCCATTTCCTACTCCCTTTAGTCTTTCTGTACCTGGATTATTTAAGCATAATGTCTTAAGGGCCCACAATGTTGTCAAATATTGCAGAATTTCCTTTTTTTAAAAGGCTGAAGAGTATTCCATTGTAAGTGTATACCACATTTAAAAAATCCATTCTTTGTCAATGGGCATTTAGGTTATTTCTACCTCTGCTATTGTGAATAGTGTTGCAATGAATATGGAAGTTCTAATACCTTTTTGAGATCCTAATTTCAGTTCTTTTGGACGTATACCCAGAAATGGGATTCCTGAATCATAACAGTAATTCTATTTTTAAGGTTTTGAGAAACTTTCATAATATTTTCCACAGTGACTACACCATTTTACATTCCCACCAACAGTGTTCAACTGTTCCAGTTTCTCTATATCCTCACCAATTCCTATTGCCTTTTATCATAATAGTCATTCTGACAGGTATCAGATAATATCTCGTGGTTTTGATTTACATTTCCCGGGTGATCAGTGATGATGAACACTCACTTTTTCTGTATACCTGTTGACCGTTTTTATGTCTTTGAAGAAATGTCTACTCAAGTCCTTCGCCCATATTTTTTTTTGGACAGGTGTTCAGTTCACTTCAGTTCAATCGCTCAGTCGTGTCTGACTCTTTGCGACCCCATGAACCACAGCATGCCAGGCCTCCATTGGACAGGTGAC